AATAAGATGTGCGGTTGGGAAAATTGAACTTAATCATTTTCATTTCAAGGACAAAAAAGTGCTAAAATTAGAATGCATACTGTGTTGGTACGAAAAGGCCAATGCATATTGGAGTTTAAGTGAGAACAAATTACCAACATTTCGATTTTTGTCACAATTTTATGATGGATCTGCTTAAAAACAAAATTTTATAACAGATTATTTGTTTGAAAAAACGAAATTTTATAAAATATAATGAAGCATTTATCTGCTTGAAAATGGGAAAATTTGGTAGATTTTTATTCAAGTTTATTTTTTTAGTAATTACTATCTGCAATTAATCCTCATTCATGCAATTCTAACTTTATACTGAATAGCGACGTCCATCTCTTTATTTTAATCAAACGAAGCTCCTCATATTTAAATTTACCTTCAAATAATGCGTGGATACTTGTAAATCAAAATAACTCGAGGAATAGAATATCGACAAGCTTCACCAAACTAATAAAAATGTGGAAGATGTGAACAAATTTTAAAATCTTCCCTCTGGCGTCTAAACGTAATAAAAAATTTATATACAAATGATGTCTAAGTTTATATGAACAGCTGAAAAAATAAATGTTCATTTAAAATAAGGTTTAAATTGCAACTGTATTACTTTTTTTCTGGCAGCGTTTCATCAACAACCTATAGACAAAATCTACAACTTCCATGAAGGTAGCCGCCGAAACTCCGAGCCAAAGAGAGAGCATTCCTCCGACAACCCCGACCATAGTGTCCCACGTGTAGGCAGCTTCTTCGATATCATAATACGGGATGTCTTCTTTTATTATAAATTTGATAGTAAGGAAAGATTCTTGTATTTGATTCAGTTTCATCGAGGTTGCTTTCAAATTTGTATTGATTGCATCGGTCATGGTGAGGTTTGATTCATAAAAATGTTCCAATATATCTGTGTATAATTTATATCTTTTGGCGACTTCGGGATGAGTTTTAGTGCAATTTTTTTCGTAAATAAAATTTTCAAAGAGGTCAATTTGAAGAGAATTTTGAGGCCATGAAGCCGTAGAGAGAAAAGTCCCGTAGATAGTTTCATCACAAGGTGTCAAACAGCTGCTTTCACAAGTTCCTTTAAGAAACTTTTGAGAGCATTGAAAGTTATCAGAAACATTTTTATTCATTAAGAAAACGTTAAACCCGTGTTCTTTAATTTGATCGCTGTCGAGCGAGAAATTGCCGCACATGTTTGTAGTGTTCATGTACGAGAGAGGTACCTCTAAATAATGAGACACACATCCGCAGTTTTTTAAAATGTTTTTTTGCTTGCAGAACTCAATACATGAATCACGTGTGTAAAATTCGTTGGGCGAAACGTTCAAAATGGTTTCAGCCGTGCAACCAAATCTAGAAAATTATTGAATTATTCAAAAGTCTTAACGTATTATAATTTAAAACGATTTTTCAAAATCAAACCATATGAAAAATATTTAAACTCGACAATACAAACTTATTATACGGCTTATCCAGCCGATGTTTCTCTGTCTGAACTATTGTAACGATGTTTTCAGTTCCGGGAGCTACACTGAAGCCATTTTTTGGACTCGGAGGAGTTCCAGATCTGTGGACGTCTACCTGAACACCTCTTGCTTGAGAACGCGTGAAAGAATATTGATAAGGAATTTGTTTCACACTAGGTGGTCCAATGTTCAACATTAAGTATAGTCCCCTGACAGACATGTTGTTGCTCAATGTTTGTAGCTTACTTGTTTTCAATGTATAACAAACGTAGTAATTTGGGCTCCAGTGTTTTTCAAAATAATTTGAACAGTCCTTGTTATCATCGGGCCAGTTACTTTGATGGATTTGACACTGAATAATGAAATCTGGACAATCCATTTTTATATCGCAATTTTTTGGTATGTTTAAAATGTAACCTGTAATGGAGTTAAACTCTTCATATATTTTCTGGGCATAGGACTGGCTGAAACTTTCGTTTTTTACTAAATGCTCCAAAATCATCTTTTTATTTTTAAAAAACAATAATAGAAATTCTTCAATGGGTAATATTTCTGGATAGCCAGCAGCGAACGAATCAAGATTGCATATTGTGATATCTGGGAAGGCAATTTTGCCCTCAACCTGAATTTTTGTACAAAGGCAACTGTATTTTTTTTACATTTTTGTAAAAAACTTTTTGTACTTTTTTGTATAAAAAATTTTAATTGGCTTAATAGATTTAAAAATATTTATTAGTAAATGTATTTCTTTTTTTAAAAAAAAGGTTTCAAAAACAACAACTTCAACTAAACGAGAAAATATCATTTCAACGATTAACAATTTTGCGTTTTAAAGTAACAAATTGTCAATAATCTGATATTTAATGTAAAAAAAATAAAATAAACCTTTTCACCGTATTTAGTCCGAATGGGCCAATAATTATACTTGCTGATGGCAACGTACAGAAAAAAAGTTAAAGTCACAGTGCAAGCAATCAGAAACAACACCCAGAGCTTCTTCAGTACTGGATCTTTTGTCTTAACAAATCGCGGTACGCCTCTTATTGTCGTGTTTTCTGCGTAACTAACTAGTTCAGCTTTAAAATCGGAATACATTTTTTGGTATTTATTATAAAATTATTTTATATTCTGTAAAAACTTTAACAATTCGTTAAAATATTTTACACATTTTAATTGTCCATTGTGGGCAAGTCAGCTAAAAATTTGTTGCTTGTTTAGCGTTACTTTGATATTTGAAAGAGGTTATGTATATTTTCAATAATAAAATGAAACCAACCTATATGGTGCTTAATGTATGTTGGTTGTATTGATCTAATATGTCATTTAAACAAATGGGTGACGATAACGCACGTTAATTTACTTAACGATTTGTTAAAAGCATTTCCATCAGCCATACACATTTTTTACTGCGATCATTTTAAATAAGAATAATTAATTGAACAGTTTTTTGCGAACTTTATTATTCAAATGCGTTTCAAAATATCTAAAATTTGATTTGATAAAATTTGATAAAATTTGATCCAATGAAATTATTTTTGGTATTATTCGATGAATTTGGTGACCATCTAAACCGTGCAAATGTTTTCAATAAACTTTTGCATTTATTATTATCGATATTATGTAACTCTGATATATTCAGAGCAGCGTACAAATCTTTATCCACCTGATGCAATGAAACGTTTTTGCAATACGACACACATTTATGAATGTATGTATGTATGTGTATATCAAATCAAATCAAATATTGTATTTATATAGCGCCAATTATAATTGCTTCTCATCAGCGCTCTCCTCGTATGAAGCATGTTGAAAGCGAAGCCATCATCGGTTGAGATCACTAGGAGTTACCAAATAGGTATGTCTTTAGACCTTTTCTAAACTCAGCTAATGATAACCCGGATATACGTAGTTCGATTGGTAGGCTGTTCCAAAAAATAGGCCCAGCAACTGCAAAATCTCTATCTGCTGTTTTCAGATTCCGATCTCTAACATACAGCGTGTTTGAATCAGCAGACCTTAGACGCCCATGTGATGACATAGATGAAATTCAAATACACTTATCTTCTAAATATTTCGAAGCCAGACCATTTAAACTTTTAAATACCATTACACCCAACTTGAACATGATTCTTTGTTAACACGCAGCCAATGCAACTTCTTTAGAATTGGTGATGCATGATCGAATTTTAATTTGCGATATATCATTCTAGCAGCCTGATTATGAACCATCTGAAGTTTAGACAACAGTTTATCAGCTATGCCATATAGAAGACTGTTACAAAAATCTAATCTAGAGTTGACGAAAGCATGTACTAATAGAGTCATTTTATCTCTATCTACCGATTTTGTGACTTGACGTAATTGACGTAGTTGGAACACACATTTTTTAACCAATAGACTGACTAGTGGACCCATTGTCATGCGGGAGTCCATCGCAATTCCCAAATTGGTAACCGTTTTACTGAAACTTATATCAGTCATGCTGATGTTAATCGATGAAGGTTCAACCGTTGACGTTTGTTGCCATGTACCAGCCAACATGAACTGAGTCTTAGTCTGATTCAACTTTAGCCTACTTTGACCCAGCCACGAGCCGACATCAGATATAGTTTTTGTCAGTTTCTCTAATACGGTAGGCATCTCATCTGGAAAACGTAAAACACAAATCTGCATGTCATCTGTGTACCCATGGCAATAATAACCATTTTATTTAGTAAATCCAATATCTCTGCAGCGTACAAATTAAAAAGAATCTGTCCAAGAACAGATCCTTGAGGTACCCCTGATGTAAGTTTCATTGGTTCCAAGAGACCACTTGAGTAAGAAATCTGCTGAGTCCGACCAGTAAGAAATGATTCGAACCACGCTAACGCAATCTTATTTAAACCATAACAATATTTCAGTCTGTCCAGCAGGATTTTATGATTCGCAGTATTGAACGCCGAACTCATGTCCAGGAATGTCAACAAAGTTACTTTTTGTACATTAACTGCTGAATAAACATGAGAGAATATATCCGATAGAGCTGTTTCGGTCGAATGAAACCTTCTGTATCCAGATTGATGCGAAGGCCAAATACCATTTTCATTTATATGATTATTTAAAACTAACTCAACGGAACGTTCAATAATTTTAGAAACGAATAACAAATTTGACACCGGCCTATAGTTTATCAGATCTGATTTATCTAATCCTGTCTTCTTTAGAATTGGCGTGACAATTGCATGCTTGCAAACCTGTGGCATTACACCCTTCGTTAAGCAAATGTTGATTAAGTCCGTTAAGTAAACAATAAAACAGTCAGCATATTCTTTGAATACATGCGTCGGTATTGGGTCGAGTGAGCATGACTTCGTAGGTGTATGTATGTGTGTATGTGCCTATAGTTTATCAGATCTGATTTATCTAATCCTGTCTTCTTTAGAATTGGCGTGACTATTGCATGCTTGCAAACCTGTGGCATTACACCCTTCGTTAAGCACATGTTGATTAAGTCCGTTAAGTAAACAATAAAACAGTCAGCATATTCTTTGAATACATGCGTCGGTATTGGGTCGAGTGAGCATGACTTCGTAGGTGTATGTATGTGTGTATGTATGTATGTATGTATGTATGTATGTATGTATGTATGTATGTATGTATGTATGTATGTATGTATGTATGTATGTATGTATGTTAAAACCAAAACATGATGAGTGACACTGAACCGTCAAACATCAAGTAACAAATGGATTAACACTTTGATTTGTCGTTAATTGCACATGTCGGCATTCAGTTGGATATTTTCAAGCACACAGACACGCAGGAACCGCTGCAACAAGCACGAAATGTGGTTGGTTGCAAAAAACAGTTCCCTGCTGTCACCTGATCTGACACTGATCATTTTGCCTATTTCCTTAAGAAATTTAAGGGTGTTGGGGTCCATCGGGCCGAGAACCTCGATGCATATTGGCAAGAATTCCATCGAGGGGAAGGCACTCCCATATTTTTTCATTTTCTCGTCCGCTGCCCTGGCCGCGGCCAAACCGCATTCTTTACTTGTCAGGTTTACGTAACGTTCGGCGAGGGTGCCAGGGACCGTAACATCCCACGCCAAACATCTGCCGGCTCTCCAAGGTATTAGCGTGCATCCGTCCGGTCGCCTACCATCATGCGCAGAAATGCCGGATGGTTCCTTGAGAACCGGGATTGAAGCCTTGGAGAAGAGCCGACAAATGTAATCGTTTAGCGCTGAATGACGTAGTTGACGGCCCCCACCCAGGCGACAAACCAAACCGTGGTGCCCAAACTCGTCCGCCTCAGCGCCACATCGGCACGTGTATTTATTTTGAATGACCAGGCCAAGTCTGAAGCCAATGGCAAATCTTACAGACTCGTCGTCAAGCCTGGTGCCCACAGAGGTGTTAGGCCACGATCTCAACCACCCACAGCTGGCAACGCTGGACATGGCCAACAAACGAGCGGTGGAAAAGTCGTCGCCGCATGAAGACAACAAATTTTGAAAGATTTTTTTATATTCTTCGTTCAAAATTTGGACGTGCGTACGGTCCCCCGGGGCGGACGCTGGGGGAAGAATATCGCGGCAACAAAAAAACCGGTGGAGCAGAGAAGACTGTAGGTCGAGAGTGGCAGCGGCAGAAGAATTATAAACGACGGGAGCCAGCTGAACCACGCTAAGCAACCCCAGCCCACCAAATCGCACCGGCAGCTGAGCCTGGGACCAACCGCTGTCGGTCACTTGAACATTGCAAATCGACGACAGGGCGGTGCGCAGGGCTCCGTCAAATTTGCCCAATTTAGAAGGGTCAATGTGTTTAGATGTACGCAGGAAGTACATCAATTTGGGCAAACTGAGGGCATTGCGGATAATAGTCAAGGCATCATGGGCCGAAAGACAGGAAACACGACCCAGGGCGAATTCAAGCTCAGAGAGCTTTTGGTCAAAAAACTTCATTTGATAATCGCCCTCGACCAAGGGTGTGCCTAAAAAACTCAGTTCTGACGCACCAACTCTGGGTATTTCAGCCAGCGCATGTGGCACCTGAAATAAACTTTGGCAGTGAAGTTCGCATTTTTTAATGTTTAACTCTAAGCCAATTGCAGCGGAGTTATGCTTCAAATATTCGTAGCCATCGGCCAGAGTTGGACCGTCCGAAGCTATGCTGATATCATCCAGATAAGCGCAAACGAAGGTGGACGAAGCTTTTTCTAAGAGTGGATGAAGAGTTAGTGCGAACAACAAAGGACCAAGGGGATCACCCTGCTGTACCCCCTCGGACGATTCTACAACCCAAGAGTGGTAGCCAAGGGAAGAGACTCCGCCATAAGCAGAATGGCAAAAATTATAGATGTTGGGGCAAAAAAGTTTGACAGCCTCCAACATCGAGTCTCTTCTCAAGGCATTGAAGGCATTTTTAAAGTCCAGTTTCAGAAACCCCCATTGATCGGGGAGGTCGGTGACCAATCTTCGAACCGCATGAACAGCGGCCTCAGCGCCACCCTTAATCCCGACACCCAACTGAGTCGGGTAGAACTTGGTCTTGAGTTCGACCACGACCAGGGCCAAGGCACATTTGCCGGCCAACCTCCTCCAAACGTTCCCGACCGCAATCGGTCTGACCCCTCCGTCTTTCTTATTTAAAGCTATTAGCCGGCCTCCAAAAAAGAACCGGCGGACGGAGAGTGGGCAAGCTCCAGATAGGATCAAATTAATGAATTGGGTTACGGAGTTCAGTGTGTCGTCAATTGGCAAGGGGCCTGAAAAAACATCCTTAAGGTGCTGGGGTCGTAGGCCATCCAGGCCTCCAGAAAAACCGTTTTTGAAAGATTTAACGGCCCTCAGCACCTCGGCGGGAGAAACGCAACCAGCCGTTGGTGTCAATGCGGGAAAGACCCGCCTGTCCACCGGAATTTTTGGGTGGATAGAACATAATTTATCGAAGGTGGCCGGCGAGCTCTCCGCCAGGCCCTCCGGCGAGCAGACAAGTCTGACCGCCGAGGACAGGTTTCCCTGTTCAATACAAGATGACACAGCGTTGATCCATCGATCGGGGTTGTGCTTTTGTGATTTGGCATTATTGAACCCATCAAAGCACAGTACCAGGGTTTCAAGACCAATAGTTGAATATTCGCTTAGACGCTTGTTGACCAGATTGCCCTGGTTGACCCGGCGACCTCCTCTGGAAGTCTTCTGTAAGACGTATGGGACAAAACAGTGGAGTCTAACCCAGTGAGCCGGGTCACCAGGGTCGTTACAAACAGCCGTCAGCAAGGCGTTCAGATCATGTGCGAACTTCTCCCTGCATGGCTTAGGGATATGGTCGTACACCGGTACACATTTCAGCACGGCCGTCAGCTTATCAAAAACACCAGAGTAATCCAGGCCGAGAGGATCACCGGAGACCGATGCGGCGGACGACCGTGTGGGCAGCCCAGGCCTGGGGTCGGGTGCGACACCGAGAGGCGAAGCAGCCCTCGCGCCCGATGGATCAACTTTTTTCCGGGACCCCGAGCATTCCTGTCCTTTCACTTTACCTCCGTGCCGACATAACTTCCCGTCTGGAGTGCTTCTATAGTGGTTAAAGCAGACGGGGCACTGTTGTAACGTTGGAGCCATATGTGATTAAAAACAACCAAGAAACGAGGGAAAGGAAACAAACCAAGTGGGGTGGATGGATGAATGAATGGATGAACAAGCGAATGACCAAAGGAACGGGCCAGCAAACAAACGGATGAATGAGTGAATGATGGGGGAATGAATGAGCTAATTACTGAACGGACGAGTGAGGGAAAAAAAGAATGAATGAGTGAGTGAATAAATAAATGGATGAATAAACAACCGAACGAATGGATGAATGAATGAATACATGAATGAGTGACGGAATGAATGAACGAGCGAACGGATGAATGACTGAATTATCTTTAAATATTTAACCAGTGTTTCAACTTTTATTTATATAATTTTTTTTTTCTTTTTTTCTTTTCTTTTTTTTTTTTATTGATGAATGAATGAGTGAGCAAATGAGTGAATGAGTGAATACAAAAACCTAGGTAACAGTGTGGGAGGAGACACTATTGCAGCAAACTTTGGCCCAATCTCTCCCTTATAGTTTTTTTTTTTTTATTTTTATTTTTACACAGATTTTAAAAATTGGTTTAGGAAATTTCTTTTTTTATAAATAAATTTTAATTTTAATTTAAACTTTAAATTTTAATTTGAAAAGTAAATTAAAAATAAATGCCGGTAGAAGGTAAATAAGTTAAAATGTAGTGAACTTTCCAATAATAATAAAAACAGCTCACACCTGGCGCAGGCCGGTGACCTGTAGCAGCTATGAGCTGTGAATAAATTATAATATTGATAAAAAAAAACAAAAAACGAGAAAATTGGCCGAGGCAGGGCAGAAAAACGATAAAAAATGACGGAAAAACACACCCGGGACAAAATTACAGCCGATGACCCCAAAAATCATCTATAAAAACAATTTAAAATCTATGAATTTAGCAAAAATAATCAGGAAATTAAAACAATCCAGCCGGCCTTGAATGTGAACAAACGAATATCGTTGTATGTATGTATGTATGTATGTATGTATGTATGTATGTATGTATGTATGTATGTATGTATGTATGTATGTATGTATGTTAAAACCAAATCATTGACGAATGACACCAAAAGCCAAGCGTCTGACTAAATTTGATTTTATTCGCTATAACGTCACTCAACCACGTACGTCAGCATTCAACTGCACATTTTCCAACACACAGACGCGCAAAAACCGCTGCAGAATGCACGAAATATTATTCATAGCGAAAAAATACTCCCTACTATCGCCTGACCTAATAATAATATATTTACAATGTATGTATGTATGTATGTATGTATGTATGTATGTATGTATGTATGTATGTATGTATGTTTTTTTTTTTTTTTTTTTTGGAGGGGGAAAATACTTTATGTATTCCAGGATATATTTCGTGGATATGTCGGACTCGAGTAAACCCATACCGACTAAAAACCTCCTCATCGTCTGGCCCCAGTTTCCCTCGCTGGCCCGCCGTTAGGCATTACTACACGAGGGGAGGATCATAGCAGTTCGCTAGTTCGTCTATTTTTAAAGAAAACTGCAACATTCGAATATATACTTTTAGCCTTCTATCTTTAATTAATATTTTTTCTTTGCCTTTCTATGATGCCCAGCTTATTGAGGATATCAAACGCAAACGTATCAGTGACATCCCACGCAGTTTTTGATGAAAGCATAGCTTTAATTATACTTTCTGGTTGGATTCTCTGTTGGAGAACAGTTTCCAAAGTTTCTCTAGACCTGTGGAAGCGAGGGCAGTTAAAGAATGCGTGTTCCGCATCTTCATTTTTTCCTGGACAGGATGGGCATTCTGGAGAAACATCATGACCAAAGCGATGAAGGTACGCCCGGAAACACCCATGTCCCGAAAGCATCTGCGTCAGGTAGTAGTTAACTTCACCATGGTTCCGCTTCAGCCAGACATCTATTTGAGGTATAAGACGGTTTGTCCACCTGCCAGTTGTTGCCGAGTCCCATTGCATTTGCCATCGATGCATGCTATATTGTCGCTCCTCTTTTCTGAGTTCATTTTTGTTCAGGGTAGTTTTTTTACTCCGTTGATACAATATCTTTTTTTCTCTGGCCAGTTCCATGAAGGGTAACACACCAGCTATAACACAAATTGCTTCTCCAGAAACCGTGCGGAAAGCGCTGGCAATTTTCAAAGCACTTCCTCGATAAACCGACGAAAGTTTTTTTTGCATGTCATGGGTTTTTAGTGCATCAGCCCAGACTGGAATCCCATAAGTTAATACTGACGTGACAACAGAAGACAGTAACACCCTCCTGCTCTGTTTTGGACCTCCCACATTAGGCATTAATCGTGACAGGGCTATCCTCACTTTAGTTGCTTTAGTGCAGACATGTTCCACTTGTTGTTTAAAATTAAGTCGACTATCAATCATCACCCCCAAATACCGTATGTAGGGCTGTGTCGTTATTTCCTGTTCTCCGAGTGACAGCGTAATGGTTTCTAATTTCCTTTTCCCTGTAATAAGCACTGCCTCCGTCTTGTGTCTTGCCAGCTCCAGGTGGACTGAATTCATCCATTCACTAATTTTTGAAAAGGAGTTGTTAAAAATATACTCAATTTCCTCAAGATGTTCCGCTACGCTAACTACGGCCACATCATCCGCATATGCCACCAAACTGGCATCCGATGGCAGTTTCAACCTCAGCAGGCCATTATACATAACATTCCATAGGAGGGGTCCTAGTACCGAGCCCTGAGGTACACCCCCCGCAACGTTGTATTGTTGTGGTCCTGCTTTTGTGTCGTACATCAGTATTCTTTCTGTGAAATAGCTTGCTACCATTCGTTGTAGGAATAATGGAACATCCAACTCATCAAGAGCATGCAAAATGCAATCCCAATTAGCGGAGTTAAAGGCATTTTTAATGTCCAACGTGGCCACTAGACATTATTTTGTCTTTCTTCCCTTTCTCGCAATGGCATCCCTAGCTTTTTGTACTACAATACCAACAGCATCTAGCGTTGAACGGCCTTTCAGGAAACCAAACTGGTTGTCAGTCAACTGGGGATCCACCTTCTGTTCAATCATTTGGTGGATAATTCTTTCCAATATTTTCCCGGCTTTGTCCAGCATACATAATGGGCGGTAAGATGATGGGTCTTCCGGCGGCTTCTTTCCTTTAGGAATGAGAACCAGCCTCTGTTGCTTCCATCTTTCTGGAAAAACTCCCTCTCTAAAACATGCATTATAGACATCCAAGAATAGTTCCGGTGCCTCCTTTATGGCTGTCTTCAAGGCATTGTTAGGTATTCCATCTAAGCCCGGGGCTTTGTTATTTTTAATTCTGTCACAGGCTTCCCTCAATTGAGTTTTCGTGACTGGTGGGACATCGATAGTCTCATATTGTTTTGTACAATTAGTGTTCCTATTTTGTTTAGAAAACAGACAAACAACAATCTTTTTCAATAGTTGTGGACATGTGGGCGAAGGCATTGATTGTCCTTTCAAATGTAGCAAGACCGATTTATATGGCCGGCCCCATGGATCCTTTTCCACCTCGTTGATAAGCTCCAGCCAGCATTTTCTTTTACTGACTTTAATAGCCTTGTTGAGTTCTAGGCAAGTCTTCTTATACACTGCTTTCAGTTCCAAGTAATTTGCTTTCTTCCAGGCATGTTGTGATGCTCTTCTCGCTTTAAGACATTCTTTTCGAAGAGCATCTATATTTGCATTCCACCAGTGAACTGATGATCCCTTATCCACATAATGTTTACGGGGCATACTCGCATCACAAGCTTTTACTAATCTTCTTGTTAATTCCTCTGCATTCTTTTCAGCGCTTTGAACGGCCAATGGTTCACGGTTTAGGGCCACCATGAAAGCATTTGAGTCAAAGGACTTTGCTTTCCATCCGACAGCATTGGTCCGTGTCAGCATATACCCTGAGCTAAAGTCAGTGGTCACTTCCCAGAGTAGCGCATTGTGGTCGCTTGCCGTTTAGAAGTCCATAACTTTCCATGAAAGGTTTCCTTTTACCAGGCAGCAGCTTACAAATGTGAAGTCCACTATTGAGTTCGCTTCTCCTCTTACAAATGTAGGTTTATCTCCGTTATTCAACAGGACTACATCTAATATTGCCATAGCTTCTAGTAGCGCGTTCCCTCTTGCATTGGTTTCTTTACTGCCCCAGTCTACAGCCCAGGCATTAAAATCTCCAGCTATGGCCACAGGAAAGTGCTGCTTTGCACTCTGGGTCAGTCGATCAAGGAAGTTTACATATTCATCAAAGGAAAGGCTGGGCGGAGCATAACAACTATAAAAATATATATCCTCTACCTTTGTTGCTACAAAACACGCCTCTGTATTTATAACATTTTGGAAAAGCAGCTTGCTACAAGACCAGATGACTGCTCCTACAGTTCTATCCGTTTCCCACGGCTGTGTATTCAAATGTTTATAAGGTTCTGATACTATTGCCAGATCTACTTTCAGTTCACGCACAGTCTGCATAAGCAGATCATGTGTCGCCTCGCAGTGATTGAGATTTACCTGCAGAATCTTCATACTTAGGTTTTTTTCCTTTAATACTCAGCACCGCGTTTTTATAAACTTGACATCTTGCAGTACCAGCTGCATGAGCACAATTATCCGCGTGGTTTGTTTCAATGCATAAAACACAACGGGCCTCGTTCTTGCACTCTGCAATTTTGTGACCATCTTTTCCGCATCTAATGCAAAGTTTTGATCTGTCTATGGGACTCTTGCATTGTATTGCAAGGTGACCATAATGCCAGCATTTAAAACATTTGGCTTCTTTGCTGACACAATTCTGCAGTTGACCCATCCGATTTTAATTTTGCCATGTTCACCCATTATCGTTTTTGCAATAGGAGCCGCCAGGGTTATCGATGCAACCTGTGTGCCTCGATATGCTTTACGAAGCGATTTTATGTCATCGATTGCTATTTTAGAGTCATCTCCAGCCGCTTTTTGTAAGGCTGTTAGAATGTCCTCTTTCGTTGTGACATCATCTAAATCTCTTATTTCAAGGTCCTCTTGTGGTCCTTTACATATGACCGTTGCCTCGTCTTTAAGGATTTTCGAAATGGTTTTCTGTAATCCTTGGCCTCCGTCAGCGTTTTTTTTGTTAATAATTATTAGCAGATCGCCAGTAGCTGTCCTGCGGATCTTTTCAACCGTGGAGTATACTTGTTCATCCGGAACTTCTTTTTTCACTCTGCAAAGAATGTCTGCATATTTCTCCCTATCTTTGGGACGAACAATTAGGACATTTGTTCTTAGTCTTCCCACGTTCCTTATCATTTTCTGAAGCGGACGGTTATTCTTCTGTTCCATACTTTGATTCTGCTTCCTTTTTTTTACCTTGACTTGTTGCCATCCAGTTTCTGTCTCAGTGTTTGAATGTTCTTCATCTTTGCTCATTGTTGGGGAAGGCAGAGTTGTTTGTACTTCCTCTCTCCTCTTCTTAGTTCCAGTCTCCGGCGGCGTTCGGTCTTTTCGCTTGACAGGCCGAGACAGAATGTCTACAGCAGACTCGCTATCTGCATCGGCTCCGGTATCTATGGCCGATAATTCTTCTATATTCCGTGCCCTTGTCTCTAGTGGCAGAAATTGTGTTTCTTGGTTCAACAGCAACAGGTTAACAATTAACAACTCAAAAACTCAAATGGTTGTATTCGGACCAATATAATATTTAAATTATAAAGAGCCGTTCAAAATCGAAATTAATAATCTTGAAATTACTGAAAGTAAAACAGTAAAATTTCTGGGTGTATTTCTAGATCAGAAATTGAGTTTCAAGTCCCATGTTGATTACATATTTTTCCTCCCGAAACGATGTTTGAACGTGCTCTACAATGCCATATGTTTGCCTAACTTGACGTACTGCAATGTAGTTTGGGCCGGTGCATACCAATCAACCACCCATCCTATCATGGTACTGATGAAAAGGGCAATCAGGATTATCACGTTGTCAAGAAAACAAGCCCACACTCATCAACTATTCACAACAACTAACAATCTAGATTTCAATAAATTGAACTTGTACTGCATCGCCGATTTTGTGTATAGGCAGCTAACTAATAAGCTCCCGCATATTTTCAATAACTATTTCAATTTAAATACTAACAATAGACGATTAAATAACATTTTAGCTAACAAATCAAAAACGAATATACTCTTTTTACATGTAAAGGTCCAAGAGTATGGAATTATATTATGAAAAATGGTTTTTGTAATGAAAATATGCACAAGAACTTCAAAAATAGGTTAAAAACGTTTTTATTGAAAACACACATAAATGTATGTGTTGGTTTTTAATTGTGAATTATTCT